ATAAAGTTCTGTCAACAACTAAAAAAAATAATAATAATTTAAAAAAAGGATGTGTTCTGACAAGAGTAAAAAATTCTGGAGAACGAGAGGTAGGTTGAATGGCTTGAGAGGTGGGAACACAATAAATTATATGGTTTGGGCAGCAATAATGCTACAAAATGCTTTTATGTATATGTAGGATAATTTATATTTGCTGAAAAGGTTTGGGGTGTGGGGAATCACCAACTGCACTTATGTCATTGGTAACCCTCTTGTCTTGGCTATGCCATTGTTTTTGTTTCTATATAAATTTTTCATATAATGATATCATATCTTCCACTTATCTTTACTTGAACTTTTTAATGTCATACTCAAATGCATATTCTAAAACTCTTTTTCTTGTGTTATAAAACTGATATGTACTGTCAGCACTAATCTCCGGACTATATAAAGAACTCAAAAAACTTAATACCAAAATAAACCAAACAACCCAATCAATAGATGGGCTAAGAAGCTGAACAGACACTTCTCACAATAAGATATACAGTTGATCAACAAATAATATGAGAAAATGTTTAACATCTCTAGTAATTAGAGAAATGCAAATCAAAACTATTCTAAGATTTTTGTCTCATGCCAGTCAGAATGCAGTTATCAAGAATACAAGGAGGATGTGGGGGAAAGGCACATTGATACATTGCTGGTAGGAATGCAGATGGGTGTAACCAATCTGGAAGCAGTATGGAGATTCCTTAGAAAACTTGGAATGGAACCACCATTTGACCTAACTATCCCACTCCTTGGTCTATACCCAAAGGACTTAAAATTAGCATACTATAGTAACGCAGCCACATCAGTGTTTATAGCAGCTCAATTCACAGTAGCTAAACTGTGGAACCAACCTAGATGCCCTTCAATAAATGAATGGATAAAGAAACTATGGTATATGTACAGAATGGACTATTACTTAGCATTAAAACAGAATAAAATTATTGCATTTGCAGATAAATGGATGGAGTTGGAGAATATCATGCTAAGCAAAGTAAGCCAGTTCCAAAAAACCAAAGGCCAAATATTCTCTCTGATAAGTGGATGCTGATCCATGATGCACAGATGTGGGCTGGGAAAAATAGAGGAACTTTAATTGGGCAAGCGAGAGGGAGGGGAGAAGAGGAAGTATGGGGGCAGGAAAGATGGTGGAATAGGATGGCCATCATTACTCTAGGTACATGTATGACTGCACATATGGTACAACACTGCATCGTGTACAATCAGAAATGAAAAGTTGTGTATAATGAGTCGATATACATTCTACTGTCATATGTACCTAATTAGAATAAACAAAAACTAATATATGCTCAATCAGAAACTTAGAAATTGTCTACCAGCTAAAGATGACGACTTTGAATAATTTGGGCTATTATCTTTCATTCTGTTTTCTGAGTATATGTGTATTAATTTGTAACTTTTAAAAATAATGGAGTCACACTGTATTGCAGTTTTATTTCCCGAGAACTTAGTTTTTTTTTCTGAAAAATATTTATATTTTGTGATTGTGATAGACTCTACGAATATGAACATATGAATGAATATATGACATTAAAAGTCTAGTTATCTTAATGTATGTGGTTAAAAGTCATGATTGTTGTTATCTGCAGGAGTGTTACTTGAAGAGTAGAAAGAGAATGAAGGGATTCTGTGGTGCTGTTTCACAAGTGTGTTTATTTTTGTGAATATTGAGCTGTAACATGCATACATTTTTATATTTGTATATTATACTTGAATAAATTTTAAAAGGTTTAATAGTTATTGAAATAACACAGATTAATAACCTGGATGATTGGACAGAGAAATGTGGAAGTATTTTAGAGAACTGTTTTCCTCAGTTCTTTTCAATGATATAAATAGCTTATTTTAAAAATGTTTGTTGAGAAATGTTAATTTATATCTGTGTCTGACCTCCAGCCATTTGAACTAATATTTTATTCCTTTATGGCAACCAGTGACAGGAATTCAAGGACTTTAAATCTCTGAAAGTAATAGTAGCAAACTAATCAGAAATGAAAGAATGAAGGAAACAATCAAGTGAAGGAACAGCCTACATAATGGGAGAAAGTATTTGTAAACTATACATATGGCAAGGGATTAATATCTAGTATATATAAGGAACTCAGCTAAGTGTCTATCAGTTGATGAATGGATAAAGAAAATGTGATGCATATGCACTGGAATGCTAGTCAGTCACAAGAAAGGATCAAATCCTGTTATTTATGACAACTTGGATAGAAATGAAAGACAGTATGTTATGTGAAATAAGCTGGGGGAAGAAAGACAAATATTGCATGATCTTGTGGAATCTAAAAACGCTCGTTTCATACAAGTTGAGAGTAGAATATTGGTAATCAGAGACTGGAAGGATGGGAAAAAGTTGGTCAGTGGGGATTAAGTTAGGAGAAATAAATTCTAGTGTTCTATTAAAGTACAGTGGGTAACAATAATGACAATATAATACTGTATATTTCAGAAAAATCAAGAAAGGATTTTGAATATTTACATCACAAAGGTAGATATGCTTACCTTGATTTGGACATTATATAATGTACATGTTTTGAAACATCACATAGTATACTAATAAATCTGTACAATTTTTATGTGTCAATTAAAAAATGCCAGTATCTCTAGGGGGAAAATACAAGAATAGACTAATCTGTTTAGAATTTAACTTAAAAGTGAATAGACAAGGAGCCTATCTAACTAGCTTATTTACTCTGCATCTCTAACCCTTTTCTTTACATTCACCATTGTCTGTTTGTTGAGTCTACACACCTATGTGGTTGATTCACCGGTGTTACCACTTAAAAAGTTTTGTCAGTATGATAGGTAAAAATATTGTTGTTGGGCTGGGGATGTGGCTCAAGTGGTATCGCGATCGCCTAGCATGCGTGAGGCATTGGGTTTGATTCTCAGCACCACATAAATATAAAGATATTGTGTCCACCTAAAAAAAAACAAACTAAAAATAAATACTAAAAAAATAAAAATATTGTTGTCTTTTAATTTGTATTTTAGTTATTGAAGCTTAAAAGTATTTTTATCAAGGCACATGGATTTAATTTTTGGGAATTTAGCTATTTAAGTAGTTTAGATGTGGATTGTTCATGTGGTTGGTAGGCATTAGTCTTTTGTGGCTATTGAACATTTCATGTGGAGCTAATTCAAATTGGGATGTATCATATGTGTAAACTGATAATACTGGATTTTGAAATTTATGAAGAAAGAATGTAAAATACCTCAATAATTTTTGAATGTCAGTTGCATTTGAAATTATAGTATGCTCGGATATATTAAAATTATTTTTACCATGTTCTTTTTACATTTTTAATGTGGCTACTAGAAATTGTAAATGTACATATGGTGGGTGTTATATTTCTGTTGGACAGTGCTGGTTGAGATAGTAATCTAATCATTAGTGATTAGGACCTAGATTAGTGTAATATTTATAGAAAGGAAAATAGGGAGTATTTTTTAAGAGATTTTGAATTATGCATGTATCTTACATAAACTCTATTAAAATAGAGCATATTTTACATTTGTGTGTCTTTCCATCATGGCTTTGTAATCAATAAAAACACTTTTTGAAGGCAAGAACTATGTCACTATTATTTTTACATTCTTCTCTGTATCTTCTGCTAGGTTCATAGAAAATTGATTTGAACAAACAAGATTAATAGGATATCATATTTTATAAGCTTAAGTTTTAGAATGTTGATGATTGAGTGATTCTTATGCTGTATCTTTCAATATCATAATTTTTCTAGTGATCCCTATCAGTTGTATTCTTGAAAGGTAATAGAATAAATGAACTAACATCTATTCATATAAATGCCAAGCTTTCTGTAATCATTTGATATCTTTTTTTTGTTTAATCCTTATTATAACCCTATGAGGAAAGAATCTACCACCATCTTATGGATTATGAAACTTATGTTGAGTAATTTTTCCAATGTTATGTTAACCAAAACAGATAAGCCCAATTTCAGAGCTAGCACTTCTGTACTGTAGCTTTCTGTTCAATTAAAGATAGCCAGTTATTTAAAGTGATTTGAAATTCATGTATTTTGGCTGACATGAAATTAATGGAAATGTAAAATGATAAATTTTGACATTATATATTACATATTCAATAAGAAAGTAAATTGAGAAATAGTTCCCAAAGCCTAATGGGAAGAAAAAGACACATTTTTTTTTCTAATTTTATTGTGTATTGCAATTCCAGAAATTAAACCATATTTCATGGAGGAAAAAATTAAGTTTTAATAGTTTATTTTGTCTTTCAGATAAAATCAGAGACAAAATTAAAGAGAGAGACAAAGAAAAAGAGAGAGAAAAAAAGAAGCATAAAGTAATGAGTGAGATCAAGAAAGAGAATGGAGAAGTAAAGATTTTACTGAAAAGTAAGTTTATATTCAGTGAATTTTGTTTCACTATATTGTGCATATTGCGATTAGAATAAGGAAATGCTATGTTGTACTGATATTTTATAAGAATGAACATTAATGGAGAGGAAATAAAAAAATATAGGGAGTTCAGATCTGCATGTAACATGTATTTGGTATTTGTTTAGTGAATCATTAAGGTTTCAAGGTTAAACTTCACTAATCTATTAGATTCCTTAAATAATTTTAAAATAAGTTTTCTGACCAGTATTTGTATTATTAGTGCTTATCCATATTTAGATAATCTAAAATAAAAGTGTAAAGCAATTTTTAGTCTGATAAGGATGGTGAAAAGAAGTGATCTTACAAATATTTGACTTTAATTACCATATCATAGTCTGGAATTGAGAGGGAAGATAATCAGAAGGGATACTGTGACTGTATGTTTGTTTATTACATACCTAAGAGTATCTTTTTTGTTTCTTGGTTTCTTTTTTGGTACAATTGCATTCAGGTACTGGTTTTATGTGGGGTAGCTTGGGGAGAATAATTTTAAGGATGGATAGATAGTTGGGTAATATGTCTTTTCATTTAATCTGAACTTTTTCGTAGAGAATTTATGCTGAAATACATGTACAGAGAATCTTAAATTCACGCAGATAGCAATATATGAAGAATCAGTGGCATTCATTTGTTAGACAGCTAGGAAAGTCATTGGCCTTTATCAAGTTAATAGATCAAGTTGCTGATCAGAACATGTTGACCATGATTAATTTCATTTTGAATTTATGTGTTGGCAAGCCTTTATATCTATATAAGGAAAAAAGCCTACTGCACTGTGTATACACAAAATAACTGGTTAATTTATAATATTTAAGATAAATATAGTTAGACTTTATTTTCATTTCCTTCTTTGTCATGTTTCCAGATGTTCTTTTTTTATGTTTTTTTTTTTAATTGTCAGTGGGCCTTTATTTAATTAATTAATTTATTTATATGCAGTGCTGAGAATTAAACTCAGGGCTTCACACATGCCAGGCAAGTGCTCTATCACTGAGCCACAACCCTGGCCCCCAGATGTTCTTTGATAGTACTTTATGTAAGGTCTATTTTGTATATGTCAGAATTTTATTTTCTATAATATTCTTTTACTCCTGAAGAAAGATGTCAGACTTAAATTGATTGCAATTTAGTTAATATTCTTTATCCTTTTGTTCTTTTCTTTTGCCCGTGTGTGTGTGTGTGTGTGTGTGTGTGTGTGTGTGTGTGTGTGTGTTTTGTGATGCTGGGGATTGAATTCAGGGACTTGTGCCTTTGAGGCAAGCACTCTACCAATTGAGCTATATCCCCAGCTCTGCCATTATGTTTTATCTATGTTACCTAATTAGATTGTAAGCCTTAAAGTCAGGAATTAATTCTAACCAAACTAGTACTATATAGCAACTAATGATTAATTCTTGAAATGTTTTCATAACTTTGTTGGTTTAGTCAATTAATCATTTTTACAGATATACTCATTTTCTTATCTATTTGAAAGTACAGGGATGTAAATTTCTGTCACTTGAAAGAATCTATGTCTTAGAAATAATTTATAAAGGTTCTTATGTTCTTGGTTGAATAATAGATTTCTAATACACTGTTAATGTGAATATGTGAGTCTAGAGTTTATGTATGCAAATAAAATTAAAAACGGCCTAAAAAATGGAGATTTTTCTAGGAACATGCAATATTAACTTTAACTTTGAAATGGATAACACATTTAGGAGGTATTTTGAACTGAATTAAAGTGGAACTAGTAATGTTAAAAAAGAAAGAAGGAGAAAGATTTAGAAATAAATTTGTGACTTCTAGAATGACCATGGAAAAATTTAGAGAAATTTACTCTACCTACTGTATGTTTTAGTCAGCTTTTTCGCTGCTGTGAGTAGAGGATCTGTCCAGAACAACTGTAGGGGAGGAAAAGTTTATTTGAGGGCTCACAGATTCAGAGGTCTTAGTCTATAGAAGGCTGGCTGCATTTCTTGGGGCTTGAGATAAGGCTGGACATCATGGCAGAGTGTATGGCAGAGGGAAGCAGTTCGTGTCATGGTGATCAAGAAGCAGAGAGAGTCTCCACTCGCCAGATACAAATAAATACCCCAAAGTCATGCCTCAATTCCCATCTCCCCCAGCCACACCCTACCACTTCAGTTAATCCAATCAGAGATTAATTCACTGATTAGGCCAAGGCTATATCCTCATCATTTTTCCTTCTTGTATTGTCTCACATGTGAGCTGTTGGGGGACACCTCACATCCAAACTGTAACACTGTACAATGGAGGTGAGTAATAATTTAGTTACTTTTTTCTAGGATTGTGAAGATTTATATGAAAGAAACTGAGATAAATGCTGAGTATAATATCTGGCCCCAGATATTCAGTAAGTGAATAAGAATCTTATAAGTATATTTAAAAGAAACAACAAAACTAAAACTATGTCCTCTCCTCAATGTGAAGTACATAGATAATTAAATGAATAAAAACATGATTCATTTGGAAAATAGTGACTATCCTATTGTAAGTACTGAGTAAACGTTAGCTATTGTTATTTTCCAGCAAAAACAATTTGCTCAGCTTGTGTGGCCATTTCCCAAGTGAGCCTCTGGTCTGGAAAGGACATTTTTTTGTCTTTGGTATTCTGGAGTAACAACAGAATCAGTTTTATGGGGCAATGTGCTATCATTTTATACCATGTGCCCTATTTCCTTTTTGGTCTCCAGCTTTTGCTCTTTTCTTAAAATGTTCTTCTGGTAACTTTAATCATGCAAGCTGTAACACACAGGCATTGTTTGATGGTAGTAGTTGAAAATATAAATGATAACTATTTCATATTAATCTCATTTCCTGAAGGTTTTTGTTAAAAATTGTGTTTTATATGAAAGTAAATAAATGCATGTGTATAAAAATATATAATTATATACATGCTAAAATGTTTTCAATGCAAAAATCTTAATAAATCCTTTTTATTGATAAATGGAATTATAGAAATAGCTTAAAAGAACAAACGAATTTGAAAAAAAAAGCTTATTTAGTGGGCCCATGTGATGTACAACCATAAGAATGAAATCCTAATTAGAATAAGTTATACTCCATGTAAGTATGTCAAAATACACTCTACTGTCATGTATATCTAAAAAGAACAAATAAAAAAAATTTTAAAAAAGAAACTTATGTAGTGGGTCTCATTTTTTATATTGAAGTTTACCAACTATTGTATTTTAGTATATGTATGTGTTCTAGTCATTTTTATCTGTTTTTTTCTTTACTTTTTAAAATATTTCTATAGTTGTAGATGGACACAATATCTTTATTTTATTTGTTTATTTTTATGTGATTCCCGAGATTGAACTCAGGGCCTTACGCATGCTAGGCAAGCGCTCCGCCACTGAGCCACAACCCTGGCCTTTTATCTGGTTTCTTAAGGCTGAATTGTGAGAACATACATATTATGATTATAGCATTTTGGGGAATAAATTTTATTATTGTAGTGTATCAGAGAAGCTCGATGAGGTTCTCTGAGAAGGAAGAATGGGGGTTAAAAAAAGTCAGTGTTCAAGTATAATGGTAGTGTATTCAAGATCATAGGTAGCTGGGGCCTTGGCGCACACCTATAATCCCAGCAGCTTGGGAGGCTGAGACAGGAGAATCATGAGTTCAATACCAGCCTCAAAAACGGCGAGGTGCTAGCAAGTCAGTGAGACCCTGTCTCTAAATAAAATACAAAATAGGGCTGGGTATATGGCTCAGTGGTTGAGTATCCCTGAGTTCAATCCGTAGTATAAGGAAAAAAAAAAAATCACAGGTAGGTTAGCCATGGCAGAAGGAGTGACAGCATTGTAGTGTGAAAAATCAAAGTTATTTTCCAAAGACCAAAGGTTGAAAATTGCTAAGCTAATTACTACTTTGTTTTCTATATACAGTGGAGTTGTATATGTTATTTCCTACATCACATTTGAAATATGATCCAGTTTTCTGGGTAATGTGTATTTTTCACTGTTTTAAATGTAAAACTATGCTAAAGTTGGTAGTAGGAATTAATATTAGTGAATTTTATTTTTAAAGTGATTTTGATCTTTAAAGTAATTTTTCATAACTGTTCATTAAAAATACATGCTGTATTTGTACTGTTTGTGTGTCGTTCTATCTATGTATGAGTTTCATTTTTCACTGGCTGTGTGTCTGCATTTCTGTTTTTGATTGTTTTGCTTAGTCTGCTCTCTCTCTTTCTAGCTGTTTCTGTGATTCTGTGTGTGTGCATGTATGTTTATGGTACATTATGAATGTGTGTTTGTAGTTCTCTGTGTGTATATTTGTGGTCTACGATGTGCATGTGCCTGTGGCTCTGGTGCATGTGTGTGTTTCCATAAACCTTATACTTTTAATCTCATATTTTTTTAGAGTTAAGTTTACTTAGAGAACAATTTCATTCTTTCTGCTGTAAGTACATACCAGTGACCTTTATTGGGTCTGATTTGAAGAATTATAGATTTATAATGTGTACTTGAAATACTTTTTAGTACAAGAGAACATTGATATTTAAGGTGATCCTATTTTCTCAAAGTATTTTAGAATTTTCTACATATGTATCTGATGCCTTTCATATGTAGAGACAAAAAAATGAGTAAGTATTTTGGGTAAAAATGAGAGTTCATAACCCACTTGAATTTAATGTATGAAATATGATATGTCAAGAGCTTTGTAATGTTTTGAACAACCAATAAAAAATAAATAAATAAATAAAATAAAAGTCTATCAACAACTAAAAAAAAAGAGAGAGATTATATAATAGTAAATGATAAAGCCCCAGTTTTGTTTAATGCAAAGAATACCTATGTCCATTGGGGATTCCCCAAACTTACTTGTAGATTCTATTTGCGGGGAGGACTCACAGAACTCAGCATATAACTGTACTCATGGCTATGATTTATTATAGTGAAAGGATACAAAGTAAAATCAGTAAAGAAAAACAGCATAAGGGACAATGCCTGCAGGAAACTTATGCAGGTTTCCAAGAGTATGCTCAAAGAAGTCACACAGGATGCATTTAATTCATTGAGCAGTGAATTATAACAACACATGTGAAATGTTGTCTACCAGGAAAGATCATTAAAGAGTCAGTGCCCAGTGTTTTATTGGGAGTTGGTCATAGAGACACCATCTGCCTAGCATAGACAAAATTCTAGACTTCCAGAAGGAAAACGAGTGTTCAACATACCCCATATTGTTTGTACAAATATTTTAGGGACAGTAAATATTTTAGCTGTTACCAGGAATGGTGAGAATCCTTTAAAAATACAAGTTTCTAAATACCAGCCAAGGGCCAACTTTACAAGCACACAATCTCAGGTATATTCTCTTTTCTTCAAATTCCTCACTGTAATATTTAATTGCAAAGTAATTTGCCATGGAAATTTAACTCCTTTGTGCTTAATGTAAGAATCTTTCACTAGATTCAGAATGAGAGAGAGACAGATGACTGCTAGACTGTAAATTAGGACAGTGGTATCAAGAAAGACCAAAGTAATCAAGGACATACTGGATAATTCTGTCAAATCACACAAAGATCAGGAAAATGATATGAGAAAATTCTGGATTTGCATTTTTTGGTTTTTATTATAGTATTTCTTTCTTGGTTCATCCTCACAGATAAGAAATATAAGTGTTGTGTCTATTTTCTCTTTATTTTTTGCCTATTTTATTTCAAAATAACGTGTTCTAGTGATCAGGTATTCTCTTTTCTGTTTTTAAATCTGTAGGTGTAAATTTGGTTGATGTTAAGTGTTTCCATTTTAATAGGCTTTATTTTGGGAAACTATTTAATTTGTGCAATTTTATATGTATTTTTAGTTGTGGGGTTTAGTAAGCTGTTAATTTTGTCTGTCTCCTTTAAATGTTTTTAAATTCTACTTTTTGTTTCATTGCTGTCTATTTTTCTTGATTTATTTGTATTTTACTTATGTATCTAAACTTTTTATCTTTCATTAGAGTTATTATGATTTGATTTTTTTGTTATTAATTTTGTTGATATTAACTTGAAACTGATGTTTTGATAGTTTGTACTTAGACAACAAGGATGAATTTGTTAACATTATTCAAATATATTTTTTAACTGCTTATAGACTTTAGAAATTAACTTTGCATTTTATGATTTCATAAATCTATGAAATAAATGTTGACAGATTTCTATTTTTTCTTTTCACGGTGATACTCATTTTGTTCTTCATTGCATACTTAGGAAGCATCTCTGAATTTTTAAAAGTGACCTTTTTTTTTTTATTAACACTAAACTTCCCTTTTATGGACTTTTTGTCAACTTGAGATGATTTTTCTTGTCTCCAGGCTTAAGATTTAGTGGAATTTATATGTGGAAGAACTTGATTGGAGGCAAGGAAAGGGAGGCAAGGAAAAAACTGTAAACTTCAAATAATCTTTGGTGAGATAGTTCTTTTAATTCATAGATTTGTCGTGTGTTTATGTGTAGCTCTATATTAGATGGTTTGTGGAATACAGTGATGGAAAAGAAATATCAGTACCTTTTTAGTATCACTCTGAATTCATAGAAAAGTCATTGTTTTACTCATACAATGTCCTGAGGAACATGTGTTGTACACATATCCTACAAGTGAAATAAATAACTTCTTATATGTCTTAGGAGTCATTTCACTTCTAACTGAAGAAATAAGGGAAATCAACATGAAGGAAACGATGTAAGAGTTTTCTTTAAAGGATGGATGAGAAAGAATTCAGTGTATGTACTGAGCAAGGCAAAGGTTATTTTAAGGAGAGGAAATGCTTTTGTTAGGATTAGAAAGAAAACCAAGCCTAGATATGTTTTATAAGAGATTGTGAGTAGTGCAGTTTCATGTGAGCATGAAGTTCTTGAGGGCTTCATCTTTGAATTCCAGACTGAAGAGGAAACTACTTCATAGTTTGGCATTGAGACCCCCTGAAAGCAGTTATACCAAGGGATGAACATGATCAAAGCAATATATAGAAAATATAGAAAGATTAATGTGCTGCTGGCATTCAGGATGAGAGACAGTCAGATGACTGCTAGACTGTAAATTAGGATAGTGGTATCAAGAAAGACCAAAGTAATTAAGGACATACTGGATAATTCTGTCAAATCACACAAAGATCAGGAAGATGATATGAGAAAATGCTGGATTTGCTCTTTGGAAATTTTGGAAAAGCAAGTTTGGGTAGACTAAAGTAGAACCAGAAATAAGCAGAAGTTAAGCAATAAGAATGGTAAGGTAATAAAGGAAAGACACTGGACATAGATGGTTCTTTATGAGAAGTTTAGTGGTCAGAAGAAGAGAGAAATTTACTAAGCAAGGTTTTTTGGAGTTGGTAGGAGAGAGTTACTTATGAAAATAGAATGTCTCACTGAAAAGAGGAAGAAATAAGAGATGTGAAGGTGGAAAAATTTATGTGAAGAGGCAAGTGGGGAGAATTTTATGCATGGCAGCTTATCTGTAAAAACAAAGTTAATAGGGCTGGGGATATATCTCAGTTGGTAGAGTGCTTGCCTCACATGCATAAGGCCCTGAGTTCAATTCCCAGCACCACACACACACACAAAAACAAAACAAAGTTAATAGATGGAAATAATGTCATTTCCCAACTGTTAGCTTAATATTTTTTTCCCCATGTTGGGAAACAATATTTTCTTGTAAGGTTGTTTTATTTTTTTTGTTTTTCTTCTTATTATACAGAAATGGATATACTGTGATAATGTTAAATGCTTTTTATGTATACTTAGATTCAGTAACTGTGTGAATTACTTTTTTTTCCTTTGAATTTCTGAGCCCAGAGTCCACTTGCTTTTGTTTATAGAAACTCCTTTCTATGCAGTTTGTAAGGTACCAGTCTTTCTCCTTCACCTTTTTATTTATCTCTTTACTAGCACGTGAATGGCCCTTGAGCTTAGGATATGAGAGATCATTTTGTCATCTCCTTTGTGGCACTTTGTTGGATCTTCACTTGGAACTTTGTAAAATTTGGTAGATTTAAAATAACCCATTTTAGACAAAGAGTGGTTTACTAAAGAGTAAATAAAAAGTTAAGGAATTGCTGTTAAACTTACGCTGTTATTTTCCACTTTGTTGATTTATAAATTTCGTTGGCATCTGGATACAATTTTTAAGAGTGGAGATAAAGTAAAATTAGTAATGTATATAACAGGAAATCTCTGGATGGTATTATTAGTTTTAGCATTGTTTAACTTTTCGTTTTTGAATTTTGTCCTTAAGATTTGAAGATTATACTTTCTGAAACATTTATTCACTTCATTATTGCAGTAAACACTGATTGAGCATCTGCTGTGTTTCCAAAGGATGGGCCATATCATTAGTTGTAATTTGGTCCTAACCCTTCCTCTGTAGAGTGTATGTATGGGCTATGTGTGTGTATGTAGAGAAAGAGAGAATAAGAAAAATCAACTAAATTTTGATTGTCAACACTGTTTAAAATAAGTCCTAAATAGAAAACTAATTCTGAGTAAATTTTCAGATGTAAACTTCTTATTTATTATAAAACAGTTTCTAAAGCATGTTTCTTTAAATAAGTAAAATATGGAATTTCAAAAATATTTTTTCCCTACAGGTGGGAAGGAGAAACAAAAAACAAATGTAGAAGACTTACAAATTAAAAAGGTAAAGAAGAAAAAGAAAAAGAAACACAAAGAGAATGAAAAACGGAAGCGTCCAAAAATGTATAGCAAATCTATTCAGACTATTTGCTCAGGATTGCTATCTGATGTTGAAGATCAAGAAGCCAAAGGTATCTTAAATGATAACTTAAAGGATTACATTGGAAAGAATTTGGATACCAAGAATTATGACTCCAAAATTCCAGAGAACAGTGAGTTTCCATTTGTCTCATTAAAAGAGCCACGAGTTCAGAATATCCTCAAAAGATTGGACACTTTGGAGTTCAAACAGCTCATTCATATTGAGCACCAGCCTAATGGAGGTGCATCAGTTATCCATGCTTACAGCAATGAACTCTCCCACCTGTCTCCTATGGAGATGGAAAGGTTTGCAGAAGAGTTTGTGGGTCTAGTGTTCAGTGAAAATGAAAACTCTGCAGCTTTTTATGTAATGGGTATTGTTCATGGGGCAGCTACTTATTTACCTGACTTTTTAGACTACTTTTCATTTAATTTTCCCAATTCACCAGTGAAAATGGAGATATTGGGAAAGAAAGATATAGAGACAACAACTATGTCCAATTTTCATGCTCAGGTAAGAGGTTTTAGTTTTATTTCTTTTTGATAATTTTTAATTTTTTGTGGGGGACCAACTTCTGTTCTTTGTTCTTAATTTTGCTGTAGGTTTGAAATAAAAAGATAAAAATATAATGAAAACTTTTGAGAGTATTAAGAATATTTTCTTGATGTGAAACATTTTAAATTTCAGATTCTACTCATGTGTTTTAAAGATAACTAATGAAATAATTCTATTGTCCTCTTTTTTTTCTTGCAAGAATTTATCTTGGACTTAGTGAAATGAATTTAATGATGTATTTTCCTAGTCCTTAAAATAGTTTTCCTATCTAAAATTGTCTTTTTCTTTATAATATCTTTCAACTGCTTAGTACTGGATCTATTATTGGGTGCTAAATAAATGTTGGCTATTAAATATATTGTGTACAAAGGAACCACTACTTATTGTAATTATGTGAGAAAATTGTGCATGTATTGAACTAATTTCCATTTCCTGCCCTTCTCTATAGTGTATAACATTATTCTAGAAAGCAGAGACAATTGAGTTTATTGGTTCTTGAAAGTGAATGTGGGCCCATCTAAAAGCCATTGCCATTGTCATCCATCCTCAGATTAGAGCTTGTTTATGCTAGGAGATTGGCCAATTCTTACATTTATTGGTACTGCAGTCCATGGTATTTAAAAACAGTAATTGTGGACAACATTCTAGAACATTTAGAAGAAGGAAAAAATGTAAAGAAAATCTCAGGGGTCTTACTCAGTATTTAGTACTGTCTCTCTCTACTCACAGATAAGCTAACAGAGAGAGAAATTACTTCATTCTTTTTCCATTTCTCAGAAGTGCCAGCAGAACAAAATTTCACTCATGGTTCTTTTCCTTATTTTCAGTATATTTTTGTTGATTGATGTTCAAGATGTAGTCTCCACTTTAAATGATACTTTGGATGTTCAGTCACATCCACACATATCAGGATCCCTACTCCTAATTGTATGCTTGGTATATATTCTATAGTTACCAAGTAGCCTAGAAAATATAGCAGTATTTAAAATTTTAATGTGTGTATGGGGAAATTATTTACTAGTGTAACATATTTGAGAACTGGAATTTAAGTATTTTTAAATATTAGGCAGGTCATTTTGTAGAATTCCAGAATGTTTAGTAGCTTGTATGAAATTTCACCTGGGTTGGGTGGCAGAATTAAGCCTAGCTTATAGTAATACTTTCTGCCATTTATTAAATCCTGACTGTGCCAATGACTATTCTAAGCATTCTATATGTAATAACTCATTTAATGTTTATAATAGTTTTAGCAATGAAGAAACAAATAAAGTAATTGACATACAATCTAGCACTAAGTGACTTTGAGCCAGTTGTTTCTTCTCAAAGAATGTTTGAGTGGAGTTGTTAGGAAGGTTGTGGAGGCTAGGGTTGTAGCTCAGTGGTAGAACCTTGCCTAGCATGTATGAGATACTGGGTTCAAATCTCAGCACCACATATAAATAAATAAAATAAAGGTCCATTGACAACTATAAAAAAATTTAAAAATTTTTTTAAAAAGAAAGTTGTGAATCTGATCTTTATTCTTATTTAATGTTAGTCTGAAAAATACATTTAGTAGCATTAGAGAAATTCATGATAATGGTAACGAGGATATTTGTAATTAGCACTTTAAAAATGAATGAAAGTACCTGTAATAATGTTACAATATATATTTTGTGTCTTCTCATTTTAATTTTTAACATATAAGTAGTGAAGCTTGGAATGTTATAAATAACAGTTGAATTTTCAAGACAGTTTTTCGTGTGGTTAAGTTTGAATCAGACCCACAGAGAATCACTACCACCAACAAGACTGCTGTTTATAATGTTAGAAGTTAGGTACTGCAATCATTCACAATGATGTGAATGACATCTCCAAGATTGTGCAGTGAAGGCCCTGGCTACTAATGGCTTGTGGAACCCAAACCAAGTTCATGCTAAATGTGTATTGTCATAAGCCTACTTTTCAGTTTTCTGTTTTTTTTTTTTTTTTTGTTGTTGTTGTTGTTTTAATTAAAATCAGGGCAACCAAAATGGTTTGCCCTGAATTCTATGGCAACAAAAAGCTGATAAATTATTTATATCTATGATCTTTATAGCAATAATATTTATCTCTATATTACTTTAGTTGTTTTCACAAATACTCACTTTTGTTCTTAAATACATGGTTTTTTATTTTTATTTTTTTTGGTATGGGGGATTGAACACAGGAGTGCTTTATACCTGAGCTGCATCCCCAGCCCTTCTGTTTTTGTGTGTTTTTTTTGGGGGGGTGGGCAGGGAAATATGAGGGATTGAACCCAGGGCGTTTAACCACTGAGCCACATCCCCATCCCTTTTTGGAGACATGGTCTTTCTGAGTTGTTTAGGGCCTTGTTAAGTTGCTGAGACTGGCTTTGAACTCATGATTCTCTTCTCAGATCTTGTTTTTTATTTTAATTTTTTTTGAGAGAATTTTTTTTAATATTTATTTTTTAGTTTTTGGCGGACATAACATCTTTGTATTGTGTGTGGTGCTGAGGATCGAACCTGGGCCACACACATGCCAGGCGAGCGCGCTACCACTTGAGCCATATCCCCAGCCCTAATTTTTTAATTTTGAGACAGAATTTCACAGAGTTGTTGGGGCTGGCCTCAAACTTAGAATTGTCCCGCTTCAGCCACCTGAGTTGCTAGGATTATAGTTGTGCACCACTATACCTGGCTTTCCTTGAATTCATGTTAATGTGAGATACTTATATAAAATATAAATGTACACACACTTACACACAACCCTAACAAAGGATCAAGATATTCCTGTTTTTAGTCCTTGGTTTTGGAATTCTTTTTACTTGTGTAATCCTATTTTCCATCTTAATCTGTAATCTTGAAGGTTGCCTGAAAGTATTTGTTAGCTGGGTTATGGATATTTTTATCTCATTATCCAGGTTAAATGAGGTTCTTCTGGGCTCATTCACATGGTGTTGGGTATCACAGAGTGTAATTCCCAGTGTACAATCTTTCTCTTGAGTTGGATTTATTCAAAGGAAGTCATGGCAGCCAGATTTGTAGAAATTAGTAGGGAAATACACTCCATTTCTTTTTTCTCCTTATTCTCCTCTCCATTCCTTCCTTCTTTTCTCTTTCTCTTTTTTTTATTCCTCTTCTTTTTACTTTCTGTACTGAAGCTTGAACTCATGACCTTGCTTTGGACTTGAAATCTATTTTAGTTGTAGTTGGACCCAATACCTTTATTTTGTTTATTTGTGTTTATGTGGTGCTGAGAATCAAACCCAGGGCCTCTCACATGCTAGGCGAGCACTCTACCGCTGAGCCACAACCCCAGTCCCTATGCTTTACTTTTTTTTTTTTTTTGGCCTTTATTTATTTATTTATTTTACATTTGAATTAGATGGGGCATAATTCTTATGCTTTACTTCTTGATGAGAGGAGTGACATAGTCAATTTCACAGGTATAAGCATTGGGAAAGATTTGTGGTTATTTGTAATTTATTATACATATGTCCTAGTTTTTCTTCCATCTCTATTTCATTCGGATATTCATTCAGACATTTATTGTGTTCCTGTGTCCTAGATGATAAGGAATATTTTTAAAAGTTTATTAGAACAGGAGTTTTTTGTCAAGAAATAAATGAAATTTCTCTTCTTTCACTCTACCCTAAAGTAACACTTACTATATAAGAACTGTGAAAATATGAAAACTGTAGCTAGTTTATTCCATCCTTCCCCCAATTCAGTGCCCTAAATCTTATTTTTATTTTGTCTAGGTTCTCAGGTAACTAATGTCAGAACTTTAACTATTTTAATAATGGCTGTTACTAAATCTGATCTGATCGGTTAGACCTGTTTGTGTGCAGAACTGCTGAGAAGAAAGTAACATTTATTGAATTTACATTGGGGCCATTCACAGCGTTAGGTCAGTATAACAGTTTGTGCCATCTTTGAAACATTGCTTGCCTTGTTAGAAAATTTTCATTTTGACCAGTTGTGCCTGCTATATCCTCCTCAACTACTTAGGAGCTGGTCTACAGAATGTTATCATGGTAGCACCAGATGCTATAACTGAGAAAGCTTTTTTCTTCTATTATTGTATTAATTTAAAAAGGTAGATAACAATAATTTTATTCTTATTTTTTCCATATTTTATTGGTGCATTATAATTATATGCATGATATAATAGTGTAATTTGGCTCAATATCATTCCCAAGTATTTTCACTAATAATTTAATTTGTATTTCAGTTGAAGTTTTTTTGGATATTTTTGAAATGACATTGATTAAATGTCATCACTTATTTGTAGTTTGATTTGAAAATATGTGCCAGATGTTGTGGAGAAATGGCTCCCTCTTCTGGCACACTCTTTTATGTCTGATGTTTAGATTGTAACATAAAGAACTTAATGAGCAGGTCTCCTTTTTAAAAATAAGGGACTCCTCTTACTCCCCTACCCCCATAAAAACCAACCAACCAAACACAGCAGAGTTGAACCACTTTCTACCTTACTTTGATTTTTGAATCGAATAATTATCCAATTTTTGAGTTTTCTTCAAATTGATGCTGATAAATGTTAAAAATGTGTCTATCATTTGTATTTTTTATGAATCATTATCCTGAGGAACTTCTTTTTAATCTTAGAATATTGATAAGTACACTAAAACAACTATAAGACACAGGTTTTGAAGTCAAAATAGTTTGTATAATACTAGATCAAGTAAGTTATATTTATTTGCTATGAGACTTATCAGAGATTTTAATAGTCAATGTGTATGGCAAACCTCGGCAGTGAAAAGGATTTTCCAAACTTATTTTGTTACAGAATTCCCTTTTGGGGAATACATTTTTGAGAAATAGCAAATTGTTTAACAAAATTCATTCTTCATGTTTTTTAAAAAAATTCCTTATTAACTGTATTTACTTCTTTATTGCTGCAATCTTTACAGGTTAATAAAACACTATTAATTCTTGTAGATTTAGTTTTGG